TCCCTGGGCAACCTGACAGACACTCTAATCATCAACATGTAAGTGGCTCAGCTTGCTTTCCCTGGGTGGCATCTGCTTCAGAATTCCTAAAAGGTGTCTTTCATCCTCACTATGAAAGAATTAGCAAGAATTCCCCCATAGTATGCACAGTTTTACTTTGTTTTGATATTCCTTTAAGCAATAAACCTAGTAGGTTCTTACTATGTATTAAAATACATATTATTCTATAACAGAATATATATTCAGAAACACCATGTGCTGACACAGCTGTATGCCCACACTGTAGAAAGCAGCACAGTAGAAATCTGAAACCTTAGTAGCAGTTGCCCTGCTCTTAGGATCCAGAGGTTTTTTTGTTTGTTTGTTATTAAATATGTTTACATACAATATATTTTAATCATGTTTTCCTTTAACTCAACTCCTCCCAGATCTCCCTCACCTCCCTATCCACCCAACTTCATGTTTGTTCTCTCTCTCTCTCTCTCTCTCTCTCTCTCTCTCTCTCTCTCTCTCTCTCTCTCTCTCTCTCTCTCTTTTTCACAAACAAACAAAAACCAAGAAACAAAAACCAAAACAAACAAAAAACCAGTAAGACAAAAATTACCCACAAAAACCCCATGGAGTCCATATTGTGTTATCAGCTGCTCCTGAGCGTAGATGAAGCCTGCCCTGGAGTGCAGTTGATGTACCCAGTGACAGTCCACTGGAGAAAGCGGGTTATATTATTTAAGGAATACATTCACAGGTCAAAAGAATTGGAACAGTACAAAGGGGTATGTAGTATAAAATCCGCCTCCTTCCTATAACACCGTCACATCCCTAGGGTGGCTGCTGGTGTACTTTCTGTCACCTAATTCTGCACAAGAGATGTGTGTAGCACACAGAGACATCTTCTGCACTGAATGTTTAGTAAACACATGTTCCACAGAGCCCACCGCGGGACACATCCTTTTCCATCCTCTTCTTGAATGGTTGTTCTGCTTGGGCTTCTGGGCATCTATATGCAGTGAACACTTTCAGGTGTGAAATGTTTATCTTGAGATATCCCCTGTGGTTACATTCTTAAATGGGGAACTGTCTGATTGAAACCTAGATGTGGTACACATTGCCTGCAATCCCAGCACTCAGGAAGCTGAAGCAGGAGGATCACCATACTAAGTTCCAGGCCAGCCTAAGCTCTATAATGAGGCCCTGTCTCAAAAACAGACAAACAATAAGATGTGTAACTTCTCAGTATAATCTGAAAAGATCTGTCAAGCTGTTTTCCTGAAGTTTTTATCCTCGTATACTTGGTGACTATATCTTTGTGTGCACACATTTAAGTGATGTTTTCTTTTTACTCCACCGTGTGCCATGGGTGGAACAGGGACTCGCCAGACCCCAGTTTTCAGGATGAGTTCTCTGGGCTCCTGCTCTTGAAAATGTTGCAGTCTGCGATACAAGCCTCCACGGACAAAGACAAGGTACGCACCAGGTGTGGAGGGTGCGCACTTGTAGCCGCGCTGCTCCGGCAGGGTGGTCTGACGGCCCTCAACCGTCCAGCAGTGTTCGCAGGCACTCAGTATGCCGCCCACTCCGTACTTGTACAGTTTATTCTAGTGCCTCCTGTCCCATGGAAAGTACCAGCATTCCCTCGTCGTCATACTGCACATCTGTTATTTAAAGAGAAAGAAAGAGAAAGTAAATCCTTAAATGGAATTGATAAGTGAGAAAGATAAAGAGCTTGCATGTGGCTGTTACGTGGTGCATTTAAAAAGCGTGGGCTCAGACACTCGGTCAGCTGAGCATGCACAGTTCCAGGTCTCATTTATTCCCTTGCTTTAAGACATGGAGGGTCTGTTTTAAAGTGGAATTTCTACTTTCTGTAACATCTCCAGCACAATAACTCTGAGGCCTTTTATGTTTTATGCTAGGTCAAAAGCAATGCAGTCCGGGCCCTTGGGAATTTGCTTCACTTTCTACAGCCCTCCCACATGGAGAGACCCGGGTTTGCTGAGATCATCGAGGAGTCTATCCAGACTCTGATTTCTACTGTTGTAAATGAGGCCGCCATGAAAGTCCGGTGGAATGCTTGCTACGCGATGGGGAATGTTTTTAAAAACCCTGCCCTTCCACTCGGTAAGCTGTGTTCCTCTCTTTCCCTCTCGGGAAGGTATATGCCAGTCTGTGCTGTTGTTAAAAACGTTTGTGACAATGGATTTTGTCCCAGGACTAGAAAACGGCAGGAATCCAGTTTAGTGGAAAGATGAAATAAGTCATTGTGTTTGATGAGGTGTTTTATTGCCAGTTTTAAAGTATATTTACAAAGATCATTTTCATAATCTGAGAAAATACTTCATATGTTAAGCAAACTAAAACAGGATATTAGCTTATTTCTACAATGTCATCTCATTAAATACTTAGGAGAAAAGATGGGAAGGAAATTGGCCAAATCTACAGTGTTACCTCTGGCAGAGAGGGCGCAGGTTCAAATCTCACAAGTTCTGGGATCATAAATAGATGCTATGGGCTTCTGTCCCCATCATACTGTCCTGAATACCATGAGCCTTGGTTGGCATGTCATCTTGGGCTAGTAATTTCTTCTGTGCACAGACCCTAGCCACTGGGAATGCCAGCACTGGCCCTACATCTCTGCCTCTGACAGGATTGGAGAGCTAAGGGTGTGTCCCCGGAGAGGGGAAAAACCACGTGGGCCCGCAGAGCCGGCACCATGTGAGGGGAAGCTGGCCCAGTACCCTTACCTCCCAGGATGTCCAGGCAGAGCAGACCCTTGCAGACAGTGGAGAAGTTGCCTGGGGGCTGCAGAGCTGTGGGGAAGCATGTAAGAATGGAGCAGGAACAGGCTGGACAGTGAGAGCTGAGGCCCTTGTAAATGGCACTGGTGTTCACAGAATGGAAAGAGTCTGTTTTTCTGGGGCAGCAAAGAAGGAAACAGGCTGAGAGAATTGCCATCCATCTTGAGGAGTGAGACACATAAGCCAGAGAGGCGAACAGCACCTCTGAGGGGTGGGAAACGTGCTCATTTGCAGGGGGCGGAGGCACAGAAATGGGAAAAAGACCGTGTAAGCATCTTAGTCTTGACATTAGCAGTGATCTTATGTCTTAACAATAAAATGCACAACGTGCTGCAGTAAGTCGGTGCCTGGTGCTGTCTGGGAAGGGAGTACTCTCTTTGCTAGCAGGAATGGGGCTGTTGATGCCGTGTGCAGCCATGCACTGCCAGGAGCAGTTTGGGTACAGTGCCATCCATGCATCTCCCACCAGGCTTTGCCCCTTTGGACAGATAAAATCCTATTTGGGTAGCAGAGGCTTTGATCATGTTGCAGGCTTGTCTGTCTAGGGAAAGAGGGAAGTCAGAGGTCAGTATTCAGTCCCTTCCCTGGGATCCCACAGGTTGGCTTTCACTGCCCTGCTCTTATGAGGAGTCTGAGTCTCTGTTCTATTGCCGTGAAGAGACACCATGACCAAAGCAACTCTTTTTTTTTTTTTTTTTTTTTTTTTGGTTTTTCGAGACAGGGTTTCTCTGCGTAGCTTTGCGCCTTTCCTGGAGCTCACTTGGTAGCCCAGGCTGGCCTCGAACTCACAGAGATCCGCCTGGCTCTGCCTCCCGAGTGCTGGGATTAAAGGCGTGCGCCACCACCGCCCGGCCCAAAGCAACTCTTATAAAAGGAAAGTATTAAACTGGGGGCTTGCTTACAGTTTCAGAGGTTTAGTCCATTATCATCACGGCAGGATTGTGGTGGCACTCATGGAGCTGGAGCAGTAGCTGAGAGTTACATCCTGATCCACAAGCAGAGAGAAAAGTTAGGCCTGACATGGGCTTTTGAAACCTCAAAGCCCATCCCGAGTGACACACTTTGTCCAACAAGGCCACACCTCCTAATCCTTCTCAAGTAGTGCCACTCCCTGATGACTAAGTATTGAAGTATTACTATTGGGGCCATTCTTACTCAAGTGGGGTTATGGGAGTGGGGTAAACACAAAATGCATTATTCCTCCACCCATCTCCTGCCCACCCTGCCTATCTCTAAGCCTTCACTAGTTTCAGTGTCTGAATTCTTCCCAGGGTCAGCCCCATGGACCTCCCAGGCCTACAAGGCCCTAACATCGGTTGTGATGTCTTGCAAGAACTTCAAAGTGCGCATCAGATCTGCCGCAGCCCTTTCCATCCCAAGCCAGAGAGCACAGTACGGGTCTCTAGAACAGTTCGCTCAGATCTGGAAAGCACTGGTCACTGCCTTGCAGAAGAGTGAGGACACCACAGACTTCCTGGAGTTCAAGTACTGTGCCAGCCTACGGACCCACATCTGCCAGGCACTGGTTCACCTCTTGAGCCTCGCCAGTGCCTCTGACCTCCCCTGCATTCTGGAAACTCTTGAGCTGAATGGGGAGATGATCCGGTCCTACATCCTACAGTTCCTAAAATCAGGAGCAGGGGGAGACGATCCCGGAGCAGTCCACACCCCACAGGAAAGAGACCAGATGGTCAGAGTGGCCCTGAAGTACATACGCAGAGTGCAGGCTCTGCCCGGAGACACAGCCAAGGGGGCCATCGTGGCCTTCTTGGAGGACATCCTGGCTGTTCACTGTGACTCCTCAGGACAAGTGGCACTCCAGATCAGTGACCTTCACGTGTAATAAATGGGAGTCAGAGACCAAGCTTGTTCATTTGATACATGGAGTTTAATTCTAGGGCAGGAACATCCTGTCAGCGTTTATTTAGAATGGATTAGTGGCTATTTAACTTTTTCTCAAAGGGCTCAGTCACTTTGGGGTGTGGTTCCATTACTGGCCATTCTAACCCAGACAACCAAGATATGAGGAGTCAGGGTATATGTAGTATGGGCCCAGACAATTGGAGGTTGCTGTGGAATACTCATTCTGTACACTGTGAATATATATTACTCTCATTGGTTAATAAAGAACTGACTGGCCAATAGCCAGGCAGGAAGTATAGGCAGGACAGCCAAACAGAATGCTGGGAGGAAGAAGGGTGGAGTCAGAAGAGTTGCCAAGAGACACAGAGGGAGCAAGACGTGCTGGAGGACAGGTAAAGCCACAAGCTACATGGCAGTACATAGATTAATAGAAATGGGTTAATTTAAATTGTAAGAGCTAGTTAGTAATAAGCCTGATCTATCGGCCGAGCATTTGTAATTAATCTAATTAACACTAAGCCTCAGTGTGTTTATTTGGGAGCTGCTGACAGGACAGAAACTTCCACCTACAGGAGGTCTTGAAGTGTTTAGTCTCAGAAAGAAAGATGTGTAGAAACTAGAATTGTATTAGAATTGTGTTTTCAAAACTGGTTTTAATAATAAACTGATTCAAAACAAAACCAAAAGTAGCAGCAAGTGGAAGAGGTCCCTGTGCAGTGTGCTGGCAGCTGCAACAGCTGCAGAACTCCTTCCAGTGCCCCTTGATGAGTGTGCAGCTGACCACCCGGCATCGGCATGCATCCGAGGCTCCTCCACCTCCCCGTGGTCCAGGAGCCTGGCCCTCAGTACCAACTTTTGTCTGAATTCACAACTGACCTTCAGAATAACATGGTCCTATACACTAAATATGGCTGTTTGACCAGCCACCTTCTAATTTGTATCTTCAAAAAAGGTTATTTGTGTGATTTAGATGTTTTCAAAGATTTTTTTAATTATATCTATTAATATGAAGCACCTGTTAATTTCTTGCTGAATAATTGTTTACATTTAGATTTTGCACTTGTCTCTTGACTACCAACAATTTAGTAAAATTATTTCCATCAGAAATGTAGGGTTAGCCGGGCGGTGGTGGCGCATGCCTTTAATCCCAGCTCTCGGGAGGCAGAGCTAGGTCAATCTCTGAGTTCGAGGCCAGCCTGGTCTACAGAGCGAGATCCAGGACAGGAACCAAAAGTACACGGAGAAACCCTGTCTTGAAAAACCAAAAGAAAAAAGGAAAGAGGAAGGAAGGAGGGAGGGAGGGAGGGAGGGAGGGTGGGTGGGTTATAGCCTGGTAGTAGTGGCGCACACCTTTAATCCCAGCACTCGGGAGGCAGAGCCAGGCAGATCTCTGTGAGTTCAAGGCCAGCCTGATCTACAGAATGAGTTCCAGGACAGCCAAGGCTGTTACACAAAGAAATTCCGTCTTGGCGGGGAGCGGGAGAATGTAGGGTTATATAAAAACAAACCACACATATATGATGTGGAATACATTAAAAAATGTAGAGATTGCCGGGCGTTGGTGGCGCACGCCTTTAATCCCAGCACTCGGGAGGCAGAGGCAGGCGGATCTCTGTGAGTTCGAGGCCAGCCTGGGCTGTTACACAAAGAAATTCCGTCTTGGCGGGGAGC